TGTCATGACACACACCCGCTGGAAAACGTCACACATACTAGGAATTTGCTTGGTGATGAAATCCCTCACGCACATCAACTGCAAAAGGTAATTGTTCGTCGGTGAGTGAGTCGCTCGCACCGAGCGCAGTTAACGAAAAACCAGATTGGCTGGTTGAAAGAAGTGCGTGGCGTTAAATTGTTCGGTGGAGAAGTGCGGTTTCTCGATTCTCTACGACGGGAGTGCGATTGCTAATCCGCGTTTGATCCGTCGACATTGCACGTTTGCCCAGTGACATTTTGTACGGTGAGGAACGAAAACCATTCAGTCGTTCGCCTTTCAACTAACGTGTTTTCCTGTGGAATAGAGCCAATTGCTGACGCAGAGAAGCGAGGACCAGACCGGATTCAGAGCGAAAGAGGCCCTCCACGGAGGTAAGAAATAACTCGAGGAAATTGCCTTCAGACAAGTAAACTAGCCCACTTTTCTATGGTTCTTTTTTCTACCTTGGCTTGAACAAAGCACCAATACCAGGCGAGTGCTTTCAGGGTCTTAGTCCCGCGACGGTGGCGTGTCGTGCGAGACCCACTTTGGAGCTGTGTTTTACGGATCGCGTGGGAAAAGCATCTACAGGGTGTTAGTCCCGCGACAGTGGCGTGTCGTGCGAGACCCAATTGGAGCTGATTTGTGGATTGTGCCACTGGGTCTTAGTCCCGCGACGTTGGCGTGTCGTGCGAGACCCACTTCGGAGCTGTTTCGGCGATAGGCCATCATCGGAGTCGTCGAGAATAGATCAAGGCAAGAGAACGGCGCGGTGCTGTGTGTCATGTGTACGGCAACGAAGATGGTGCCCCGCACCATGAAGAAGAAGATATGTATGTGGGTAATATCGATAAGCTAGGAAATTAGTAGAGAAAAAGGAAGAGGATAGGTAGAGGAAGGTGGCAGGAAGCGTGAATTAGGAGAAGGAAAGTGGGAGATTGGGTGCAAATAAAACAATGCTAAACTAACATTCGGCCCCATTTTGTTTTGTTGGTGCACTTGCCCATTAGTGTTCTGTTTTGTGTGTCCTACGGTAGCTCAGCTCTGCCGACTGAGGAAACCTGCAACAACAATAAAACGCTTTGATTTGTTTTGTTTTTTTCTATCGTAAACTACAGATTTATTCCACATTTTATTTTCTCTTTCGATAACAAAGAACCAACCAGCGCTGTCATGTTTTATTCATTCTAGTCACTCTCGTTCTTCCACTCCGTGAGAAGGGTCTCGACTTCCCTTAGCAAATCTTGCATTTTTGCACTCCGTTCAACATTGCTGTCCAATGTGCAGAAACTTTCGACCTCGGAGAGTTGATTTAGTTTTAACTCGATTTCTGCCGCACCAGGTGGTGGATGAAAATATCCACCAGGTGGTGGATGCCAAAAATACAGAATCATCTGTATTCATACAGATTTTTTAGCAGTTTTTGAACCAAGAATCTGTATATACAGATATCAGCGATTCCAAACACATAAAGCAACCAACGATACAGACAAAACGGTTGCTACGACTACCATGACAAACTCGCTCTGTAACAAAGCTCGATCCGAGTGGTAGAAGGATAATGATATATTGCTTGCCTGCTTTGTTGCAATATACACGGATGAGGACATAGCTTGATATGAATCGGGAAAAGACATAACAAAAAAATTCCCATTAACACACGTGTATCATCTTCGGCTTTACTTCGTGAAGCAGCTTGCCAACAATTTGCTCGTTTCCTTCTACCGCCCCGAATGAGTCGGGTCGCACGAGCTGCTTGTCATGAAAAAGAACGGTGAAGATTATATCATTATTGTTTTCAACTTCTGACATAGCGTTATTATTCGGTTCGTTGATCGCTTGTTATTTTGTCATTTGGAGATATTTTTGATTCCTTGACAGATATACAGATTTTTTGAATGGATAAATGTATAAACAGATATTTTGAGGTCTGTCTTTAATTCAGCTTAATTTTAAGGTTTTACTTTCATGTTACCGTATGATTAATAACCTTGCCTCGAGAGTTAGAACTCAATGAACTGGATTACCGGGGTGAAGTAATCGGGCACACACAACTGCATGAAAGCACTGTACGTAAATGCAATTACCTACGTCACAAATTGCATGTACATTGTTTTTTGGATTACTAGTAATTTAATGGGTTTGAATGTGTTGGTCATAATTGCTTATTTTTTGACAGTTACGCGTATTTTGTCAACTACTTGCAGACTTCATCAGTGCCAAGTACTCAACATCACTGATGCAGTCTGCAAGTAGTAGAAGGTTCGACATATTTAAAAGACTTGAAGCAACGGTAAGCACCAACTGATCTTATTCTCGGTTTAAATCCCGATATCGAATATTAGGTTGATTTGACGGTATTAAAAGTAAATCCGAATTGAAGCTTACCGCTATTAATGTATTCGGCGTAAACCGTACTAACACTATTTGATGCATAAGCGCATCGCGCTTCCAACACTTTTTTGTTCATTTTGGAGCGAAATACGCAATATTAAAACTATACAGATATTAATACAGATTTTTCGAAGAAGAAATACAGATGAAAAGATTTTTATAGGCAAAAATACAGATTTGATTTTGGCAGCCCTGCAATGGATGCTTATGGATTTTCTCATAGGAGTAAAAAGCTACAGAGTCGCCGTCAACACCAATTGGTACTATATTGCGGAAAAAAGACCGACGTTATATAAAGGAATGATAAAGACACTTGGACACACGCTGGAATAGTTCACATCGGATGACGGTTATAAAAAAATGTCAAAATTTTCCAGCGCTGAACTGAACTACAATGAGTGATTAATAAAATTGGACCCCCACAAAGATTTTTTAAAGTCCTTTATGTTGATTACTTTTGTTATGTTCTGGACTAGAAGAAACAATTTTGAGAAATTATATTATATCAAATCGATGGCAATAAGACGTCTTCAGGCTCTACAAATTGGCCATGGGCCCAGGAATTTTTCTTTAACTTGTGGAAACTTCGTAAAACTTCAAATAGAAGTTCAGGGAAGATCGTAGAAATTAAGTAAACTTGGTAGATATTCTGGGAAATTCATAGACCTTCAGAAAAATTCGTAGAAAAAAGGAATTTCGAAAAGTTCTGAAAACCGCGCAGAAGTAGAAAATTCATTTAAATTTGAGGAGCTTCGTAGAAGTTAAAGGAGCATTATTTTATTTTAGGGAAGCTCATTATTTATCGGGAACCTCTACATAATTTCAGGTTGTTTAGCCCATGGACTTGGAATAGTAGTGGAAATTCAACAGCAAACTTTGTAGAAGATTTTCGAATTTCGTAGCATTTTGAGGAACTGCAAGGAAGGAACTGCAAAAGTTCAGGGAATTTTTTAAAGATCTAAAAATAGTTCAATAAACTTCTAAGAACTTCAGGGATCTTCGCCTCAGTTTAGGGAACTTCGTTGCAGTTTTTTCAGAAGTCTTACTCCAAAAAAGCTCAATGAACTTCTTGGAGGTTTTGGGAACTTCGCTAAATTTAAGGAGCTTTCTAGGTGTTCAAGAATATTTGTAGATGTATTAGGTGTCTTTCCAGAAGTGCAAAGATGTTCAGAGATTTTTGTAGAATTTAAAGAAATGAAAAAAAAAACACATACGGAATTTGGAATAAATTCAGGGAACTTCGTAGAAGTTGAGGAAACTTTGTAAAACCTAAGTTTTGTAGATGTTCAGGAAACGTTGCATAAGTTACAGGATATTCTTTCAAACATCCTTCCTAGAGATCAGGAAATATTCGAAAGATCTTCATATAGTCCAATATATTAGTAAAGTTCATTGGATATTTGGTAGGTTGTAGGTTGATCAGGAAGTATTCAAAAGTTATCCAGCCAATGGAATCAGGTACATTCTCTATAGGAAAGACCCGTGCCTTGGTGTTTTAGCTATAGTGTCACAAATTTGCACTCCAGCAGCCAAATTCTGGGCAGAAATTTCAATTTCTGCATATACCTAATATGTATAAATTTCTTTCTTTTCGAATACCCTTTTTTATTAGTTACAAAATCTTGAAAACATGGGTTTGGGATCACAAAACTATTTATATTTTAACATTAATAATGTTAAGGATTGTGTATCTGCAGTATATGCATGTACATAATTAGTGGATTTGTTAGTTATTTCGACGCTTTTTAACAATTCTTGACATTTCCCATTTTTTTAAATAATTTCTTGTTAAAAATCAACAGCATTGCGTAGAAATATTTCTGATCGATTGGTGATAAAATTATTAAAATTGGTTCAGGAGCAGCTGAGTTATTAACGTTCGAAATCTTTCGTAATTTCGCTACATTTCTATTTTCAGTTTTCACAAAGTGTACCTCCATATAGAAATCACTGACGTAGGCCTACGTCAAAAAATTGTGCATCTTGAACATTTTCCTACGTCCTAAATGTATTAAATTTATTCTGTGTGCACTTAACCTTGAAACAGCCAGCCCCCTCCAGATACATTTTCTAGCTACACCAACTACAGCAACCCTATTTCTAACTTCCCACGGATGTTTCCTCTATTTTTCCCGGGCGATTTCATCGGTTTTTCTCCTAAGTATCTTTCCAATTCCTGTATCGAACAATAAACCTCACTTCGCCAACTTGGTGCTGTACCATCCAATAGTCGAGTCTGTATTTAATCGCGCCACACGTAGTTCGATGTTTATTTTTACTAAAACCACGTTCGTTATTGTTGACTACCGCTACCTGTAGACACGCCAGATTCTTCGCTGATTAATTCTAGCCAAACAAACAACCGCTTTGTTCTTCTGGGTCATGCGGGTTAAGGCCAACTTTCTGTGTGTGTCAGAGATGCCTTCCGTAGATCAGTTTTTGTAAGACTTTCCGGAAGGACGGTTGTTGACGGACTGTCGTCATGGTTCACCCCTATGCGGAAGTATTCCTTCTTTTGCTTTCGATTTCATACGCCCTTGCAGGTAGGATTGAGTTCCAATTAAATTCCGCATAATTTCTCACAGCAAACTGAAAACTTCAGAACGACAAGTCTGCGAATACCGCTGCAACTTGGCTAACTGTGTAAACAACGAGGTTTGGCACGAGGTGGAAATGGATGGACCCAACGGCGACAAGATTGTACTCCAGCAGACCCTACGGCAGCGTCCCCGGGAGAATTTGGTGGGGTCGTTCTTTCCCAAGTTTAGTAGTACGAATTTTTTCCGAAAGTTTCTGGACCTTTTCGTAACCATGGGCGAACGGAGACGAGGAGAACAAGAGAACCGGAACGAGCTGGTTCGTCAGCGATTTGAAGAGTACCGCAACAGGATGGGACGGATGGCGGCAGAAAGGCGAGTTGATCGGCCGAGGGCGTATCGTGAACGACCGGCTCCGAAGGCGAAACATCGTAATGAGAGGAGAGGTAGACGCAAAGCGGAACAGGTTCTGTAAACCATAGCGTGTGTAATAGTACCGGACTTTTACCGGAGCTAGGTTGTGCCGGTAGTGAAATAATTCATCCGCATGGGTAATACATAGCCCATTTTCATATTGTAATATAAACTCACTTTTCACACATTCATGGTATGAAATATAGAATAATTGGTTAAACTGTCCGTCTGTTTGTTTTGTTATTTGCAATCCTATTGGCCTCTAGCAGTGAAACTTTTGCGAGCTTTCACCACCTACATTTCGAAGAGAGAACTGTTGTATGATGGTAGCAATATTCTTCAAGGGAAACAGCCAATTTTTGGGGACATCTAAAGTGGAAGGGATTCTTCCGAAGTTTCCCTGGAACTACTCTAGAAATTTCGTAAATTTTCTGAAATTTTCATCAGAATAAGCTTTGAACGCTTTTCTGCAAATCTCCCTAGGAATTACCTAGAAATTCTTACTGAGAAGAACAAAAAGAACAATTCTCAGAATTTTCAGAGAATGCATTTCAGGACTCCCTTTGAAATTCACTCCTCCTTTCACTCCTTCAGGAATACAGGTGCTATCCCATCAGGTCCTGCTCCTTTAAATGCGTTCAAGTTTTACAATGCTTTGAGGATTTCTTTTCTTTTCTCCCTTTTTATGACACAGACCTGTTGGTCCATATTAGCCAGGCGGCGTATCAAGTGATAGTTGGTTGTCAATTGACGTATACGGTATTTATGTTATGTTTTGGTTAACTTCTGCCAGAAATTTTCAAGCAAAAATGAACAGTATGTCTTGGAAAGGAGTGCAAAATAAAAGATTTAAATTTAAGAAAATGATAAAAGTCTAAACAATTAAAAATTCGCGATCGGTTTACTCAAACATTGGTTCCAACCTTTTTTATAAAATCGGCTATTTGAAGGTATTCATCGATATTTTTATTTTTTATGATGCTGATGAATTTGGATTTGTCTGCTAATACAGGATAGTTATTTCTGATCAAGTTTCGATTTGGACATTCATAAACGATATGCAGCAAATTTTCCTGGACTCCACAGATTTCACAATTCTCAGTTTTTATTAAATTCCACTTATATAGCCTGTCTTTAGTTGCTGTGTGAAATGTTCTTATTCTTCCCATTGTAATTGTTTGTGGCGTAGTCATTTCCATTTTATGGTACCATGGTTTTATTGTTATGTTATCCATTATTTGATAATGTTCTTTTCCCTTTTAATTTGATAGTTCTTTGTATTCCTCGTTCCATTCTGACAGTAATTCATTTTTAAAACTGATTAGTGAGTCCCCTATACTTAGAGGATAGTCTTCAATTCTAGCTTTGGTAATTCCTAGTTTCGCTGCTTTATCAGCTCTGTCATTTCCTGTTATATTTGTATGACCCGGAATCCATTGGATAACCACCTTTTGAAAGTTATTGTAGTGAACGAGAGTATACAATTTCTGTACTAGGTAATTTTCAAAACTATTATTTATTAGGGCTATACAGCCGCTTTGTGAGTCAGTTAGAATATCTACTTTAAATTGTTCAATAGTGATAGCATATTCTAGTCCTTCAATAATACCTACTAGTTCTGCATTCATTATTGTAAAATTAGACTTTAGTTTATTACTGAAGGATATTTTATTTTCATGATCATAAATTCCATAGCCCACACCGACATTTGTTTTTGAGCCATCAGTAAAAATTTTAATATATGAATTGTAATCTTCTTGGATTAATTTTTGAATGGTTAACTTCTGTAACTCAATGGTGTATTTTTCTTATGTAAAGATGCTATTATAGGTACTATTTCAATAACATTAGTATTTATTGATTGATGTATTTGTATCTGTTGGGTATTACATTGTAGTATATGGAAGTTGTTAACTGATGCAATCTTTTCTAGAAAGCTATGGTGTTTAGGTAGTTCATCTGAATTAATTAAATCTTTTAAGTGATTGGACTTGTTTCATAGTAAAGTGTTTTTAGTAATAATTTATAAGTAAGATATTGAGATCTGTATTTTAATGGAAGTTCTCCCAATTCTGCATAAAGTATGTGATTTGGTGTAGATTGTAAATAACGACAAGAAGTTCGAATTGAAGCATTTTGCACTCTTTCGATCCTAGATAAATCTGTCTTACTTGCTTTTGAGTATACCGATAATCCATAATCTAATTGAGATCTAACTATGGAGTTATTTACTTTTTGAAGGACTTTCGGGTGACACCCGCCTTTTTTCCTGCTTAACATTTTTAAAGTATTATTTTTTTCTTAGCTTTATTAACCGTTTCTGTAATGTGTACCTTAAAGTTTAATTTGTAATCAATCCAAATTCCTAAATATTTATGTGCATGTTTTATTTCTACTGTTTTGTTGTTGATTTTGATAACTATATCATCTGGAATATTGTTGTTCATGAAAACTAATGTTGCCGACTTATCTGGGTTGAATTGCATTCCTAAATCTTCTAAATTTGAACAAATTGTGTTGAGCGTTCTGTTCATTTTGTTATTAGTATCTATTGCATCTATACCTTCAATGACAACAGCAAAATCATCTGCGAATTGAATGAGTGTTCCTTCTTCTATTGTTTCATGTAATTTAGTTGTGTAGATATTAAACAAAATAGGTGATATCGGGCAGCCCTGAGGTAGTCCCTTATATGTAATCCTTTCTAAATATTGTAGTGCCATTATTTAATGTTAATACTGCTATTCTTTTTTTAAATAGAAATATATCCAATCTATTAAATGTTCCGGAAATTTCTTTTCTTTTAAAATTCCCAGTAATATAGAAATATCGACGTTATCAAACGCCTTCGATAGGTCCAAAAAAGTGACCATGATACATTGTTTCCTGTTTTTAGCGCCCTCTAATTTAGAAACTAATTAATCAACACAATTTATTGAGGATGTTTGCTTTTAAAACCAAAGGAGTATTTCGGTATAGTATTATTGGTTTGTATGAAATGGACTATTTCTTATTTAATTTTAATATTGATTATTTTTAAGAATGTAGGTATTAAGCAAATAGGTTTATATGATGTGTGGCAAATTTCATTTTTCCCTGGTTTAAGGGGAGGTTTACTTGGATTTGGCTGAAAAACAGTTGAACTTTGGAATTTTTTTTCAGGAGAATGAAAAGACATACGAACTTCCGGTTTCGATAATTATATTTGTCCACTATTCCTGAATACTTGGAAATTTTTTGAAGGTAAAAAACAAAATGGCGGCTCAAAATGGCGGCTCGCGTGGAGGAGTGTCAGTCAGGTTTTGCTGCAGAACTTCGAGTGCACACCCTCTGGTGGTGAACTGAAATGAAAATTTTTTATTGTGGTTAAAGTTGATAATATTCCCTATGGCTTATACCTAACTAGAACAAAATCCGACAAAAATTGACCAAATTATGGACATTTCAAAATTTAGTGTTTTTTTTTACCCCTTTTTTTCTCACTTTGACCTTGCTTAAAAAATAGTAACTAACAATTTTTTTTTCATCTTAGGTATAAGCCATACAAAAAATAGTATCCTTCAAAGCGCAATTTTCCGATTGTAAATCGGATCATTTGTTCAAGCCCTATGCTCTAAGTTGTTATAAAAAATATGGTTTCGAGAAAACGCGTTTAAAGTTTTTGTAGCGTCCCTCAGCGCGCATGACAAAGGTTCACTCAAAGCGCCATAACTCGCTAAATATGCTTCGGATCGTAAAATCCTTTTGGCCACATATTCTACACACTTGTAGTTTTCATTTTATGCAAAAAAAATCATTTGTTTTGAAAAAATCCAAGTGAACCTCCTCTTAAGAATTGCAACTACTTTTACTCTTAACCAGCTGACTGGGATGTTACGGCTATTTAAAACTTCATTACACATGTTGACTATTACATTAAGAAAATGAATGTTTGTATTTTTTAAAATATGATATGAAATGTTATCAGGACCTGGAGCAGAACTGTCTTTTTTAGTTTTTATAGTATTGATAATGTCATTTATAGATAGTTTAAGTTGATTTGAATTATTATTTACATTGTATTCTATATCATTAGTTATTGTGGGAAAGTTTAGATTCATGAATTTGTTAGCTAGTTCTCTGTTATTCAATAGTTGTAGATTATTTTTTTGAGGAAACCCTCCACTTATTACTTTTACTGTTTGCCATAATTGTTTTAAGTTTAAATCCAGTGTGAGAGTATCTGTGAGATCTTGAAAGTTTTTTCTCTTAGATTTTTTAATTTCAGTTTTTAATTTAGCTCTTGCTTTTTTGAAGAGGAATTCTTGTTGAGATAGTTGGTTGACAGATGTGTCATTTGAAAATTCAGGGATGGATGCAAAGTAGTCGCGGTCGTGATCCTCTTCGGAGAATGCAGTGTATACTTCCTGGAAGAAATTTGCGAGGGGCGATCAACTTCATAAATCAGCTGAATTGTAAATACACACTTCGGAAAATACACAAAAAAAAAATACGTAAATGTGTACACGTTGAAACTAAAATACCCTAATAAAATTTTTCAAAAATACATTGAAAATACTTTGTACACCAAAAATACATTTTATAATGAAATGAATACACTTTAATACAAAAATACACAAATCTTAAAAAAATACATAAATACGAAAAAATACAAAATACACCTTTTCAAGTCGAGTAGATGAATTGAAAACAGTGATGCAAAATATCATGACACTCACGTAATACTCGTCTTCGCATCAACCGACTATCGCTTACAGATCGTTTTGTCACACAGTGAGAGTTAGAGCCATGGCAAACAACAATCACCAGTAATGGTCGCTGCTCACAAGCAAATCGTTACACTCGCTGCTGATAATGAAAAGCACAACGAAAACAGTGAAGACTTCTGCAGTACTATCATGAGAAAAAGCGAAACGACAGAAGAAAATGAAGACAATGCCTTCGCATTCCAAGTTCGTCTTGGCAGGCGCGAGTGTGTGAGTTACAAACAAAGCAGGCAACATTAAACGGAAGCTGTTGGGCTCACTCACCAACACACTCACATAAGCAATCAAAGCAGCA